TTAACCAAACAATAATCCAGAATTTCCTGGAACTTCAATTCTCATAAGCTTTTTCCCTCCCAAAATTTGTCCTCGATCCCTCGAGACAACGCGTTTAACGCGTTTCCAAAAAACACGCGCGCCTCGAAGAGAAAGATGGATCCAACCAACCGGTCCCGTTTTGCGTACCAACGCGTCAACGTTCACGCTTTGCATACGCGTCCATACGTGAACGACGACGAAGAAAATCCGCGCGTGAATTAATTTCGGACGTTTCACCGTTGGGTATGCACGCCGGGTTTGAATGCACGCGCCGTTGCCTCGCGAAATCGGCGCGACGAGCGCGCCAAGGAAACGAGAAAAGGTTTGGATTGAAACCGACGGGTTGTTTGGCGGATGGCATGCGAGCGTGTTCGTAATTGAAAAGCAGAAAAAATGAAAATTGAAAGCGTTCCGCGATACGAGAGGCGGACGGGAGTTTTCTCTTTGGAGTTGGCACAGCCTCGATCGCGCAAAAATGCAATCCTCGTTGTGATCGATAATGCGCCCTCTTGAAAGGGTTAGGGTGTAATCCGAAGTAGAAAGCAATAGAACTTTTTTTATAAATAAAAAACGTCTCTCTCAAAATAATCTATTTCATCCAAAATCGTTCCTCGATATATTCTCGATGCAATAAAAGATATGGATCTCTCTCTTGCTGTCCTCGATTCAGCAACAGATACATATAAATATATATATATATATATGTATACTCATATAAAGGAAGATCCTTTTCCGATGAGCGTCTCGTTAAAAGAAGGGACCTCTTCCTGCCGTTTCGTTGATAAAATCAGGCCACTTTCACTGCAAAACGGTTAATTTACGAGCAAAACCGGCGCACACCGTGCGGAGAACGTGCAATTGAGAAAAGAGAGGCGGGATAAAGAGGATCGGCGTTCGCTTTCTTCTCGCTTCGTCGGGCTAATTGACCGAATCGAAAGATGAGGGAGCGCACGTTGGCGACAAGAGAACGTTTCCGTTTGATGCGTGGCTTCTGTAATTCTGTAAGGAAGAAAGGGGTCACGGGGTTAACGCTTCGGGGTTAAACGGAGAGGTTCCTAAGTCGAGGTAGAAACTGCACGGCAAACGTGGATTCTTCTTCGTGCGAGGAGGACGAGCTTGATCGTTTAATTGCTCGTCTTTCCACACTTTAAGGCCAGTGTTTCTCAATCTTTTCTCGAAACGTAATTTCATTTTGCGACATGCGAATAATTTGCGACCCCTTTTTCTCCCTTATGAATATGTATTTTTAATTAGTTTTGAAGTGTACTCTTATTTCTTTTTTTTTTAAGCCTTCTCAAGTTTATTATTTGAAATTACGAGTTGTAATTACCTATTATGTAAATGTTAGATGATTTGGGTAATTTGTTTTAAGTGTATAAAAGTTTGAAGATTATTGTTAGGTCTGTTCAAAAATTTTTCTTTCTTTTTTTTTTATTGTTAATAATTACGAGCTATTAACTGAGCTTTGAAATAAAAACTATGTAATCACTGTGCAATTTATAACGATTAAAAATTACATAAGGCGATGAAGAATGAAGATATCAATAGGAACATCATTATTTCAAGGTAGAATCCTTTTTATAGAATCTTACACATATCCCGCAAAAAGTGACTGAATCAATTCTTACATCAGCATTATAATAAAAAAACTCAACTTTTACATAACCAATGACAATAAAAATAATTCGAAACTTATATATAACCCATAGAAAAAATTAAATATCTTCTCATCAATTCTCATCGATCTCGGTTTTATTTTTCGAGTTGTTCGCTCAGCACGCCACTATACAAAATTGAACCAAAATGGTCTCCTAAATTCGGTGTAAATTCGTGGGAGGGTGAAAGAAGTACGTTCGTGCATCCACGAGACGGTTGTGCAGTCTCGTCCGGTTCCGTTCTCCATTCCCTCCTTGTATCTCTCCAACCAGAGGACCTTGGCGAGGGAAAATAAATAATAGCGTGCGGCCTTCGTAGTCGGCCGCGAGAGAGAAGTTAATTGCTCTCCATGCGGCCGAGCTACCGCCGTTCGAAAATAATATCCCGCGATCGGCCGTAATGGCACTGTTACACGGGACGTTTCAACGGCCGCGACCTCTCGCGTTCTTGACCGCCGCTTTCCCCTCATTTTCGCTCATTCTCGCTCATTTTCGTTCGATGTCAGGTACTGACTTGTCTCGTTAAATTTCCCATCGCTTCGACTATGCGTGGTTGATAATTTTTCAACGAGAGATTTTCTTTTTGACGAGATGTGTATCGCGATTTACAATACAACGTGAACGTGGATCAAATGTGATTAAACGTGTTTGGTAATTTTTAAGCGAGACGGGACGAGTGTTTCTCGTGTAATTGTAATTGTGAATGGTGTTGGAATAAGTAATTTCGTTTCTTTTTTTTTTAATGGGATTTATAATGCGTGATTGTGAGAGAAGGGGAGTTACAATGTGCGAGGTTTTGTATTAATTGGTCAGTTTAAATCGAATAAAGATGTACGTGTGTTTAATGAGATTTGAAACGAAGTGAAAAATTCGTGGATTATTTGAAAACAGTTCGTGGCATTTATATATAAATCGTGGTGAACAGTAAAGTTGAAATATAAAGTGTATCTGATAAACGGAAGAATGTGGTGAGTGGCCGGTGATTTCTTCCTGCTGCCTCTCTTTCATTTCTCTTAGTTAGTTGCACCTTGTGGTGAATGGTATCGTTTTGATCGAAAAAGAAGATTTACAACGAGCACCATCGTTGTAAAAAGAGTTTTGATATCGGCAAAACGATGCAATGCTACATGTTTGTATTGTTTATAATGATTTATAAATATCAGTTAGTTTTTCTTCTCGAATCCCGTGATATATCAGTTTCCATTTTCCAAAATTAAATTAATTTATTTCTATTTAATCTTATGCAATTATACGAAAGAGCGCGATAAACAATAAAATATAATAAAATACAAAAATCTCAATCTTTTATACAACGAGTGTAAATTCGGATATTATGAACTTAATTCACGAGAAATTCTCTTTTAATTCTCCCATTGCTCTAATTCAGTGGTTTCCAACCTGTAGACCTTTTAAGAAATCATAAAGGATTTTCGAATTATCAATTACCTTTTTATTCGACAATTTTATTATATATTACATTTTGTTATATCAAAAGATTCAAAAACAATGCCATTCATAGTCATTCATTTTTTAAAACCAATTTTGAAAATTTTTCGAATCATTCGAGGAGGAAGGATCGTGAATTATTGTACTTGAATACTATAAAAAAATTCGAATATCGCACAAAAAAAGAATTGAGAAACTCTGCCCTAATTACAACGATGTAGATCGACGAAACATTAATAGTTCTGGGATCGTTGGTCTCTCGTGTTCGGGTCGTCGCATTCGACACGACCTTCGAGGCGTATTGAACACGTTCTTGCTCTCTTAGCTTTATGACGAAGCTTACACGAGAGGAGAAACGAGCAGAACAAGTAAATGATCAGGGGGGGAAAAAGTTTCACTCTTCTTCGTACCGTTAAATAGACTTTCTTAAATCTCGTTTTCGATTTTTTACGCAGTGAAAATTGTGTCAGATTGTGTCTGTCCATAGTATACATTGTAACTATCCAGACTGATATTATTGAGCAACGATTATCATTATAAATGATTGATATATACGATCACTTTTACGAAGAAAACAGATATTTTGCGAAGATTGAAAAGATATTTTCTATTTCAAGGATATAAATTGATACGTGTATTTTTGGTTATCGTTAATTCATTCATTAAACTGTTACATTGGGATCAACGAATTATCCTCCAATTAAAATGGAAAAGTTGCACTAAATTTTTGTTTTGTTAATAAACGAATATCCAATTACAGAGATTGAACAAATAAATAGAAAGAAAATATGGTATGTGAAACAACAGTTATCTCTTGCAGCTATGCTCTTTTTTCATTTATTCATATTTACCTTTTTTTTTTCAATATTCACTGATTCGAATCACGAATTCACAGAAACATGTACACGCGTATTATTATTCTTCTTTTGAACAAATTCGATCGATTATAACTCAACTGAATGATTCATATCGCGTTCATTGTTAGTTCTCTTTGGGAAAAAAATCGAAAAAAATGGTTGGTATATTGGGTTTGCTCAGAGGAATCGAAAAACGGTAAATCGCGAAGTTATGGAAAGTCATGGATCGAAGCGTATCGGCTATTATATAACGTAACGAATACGGCCTTTATGTTTCCCGTTTTTTACGATTGTGTATCGGTTTTTTTCTTTCTTTTTTTTTTTTTAGAGGGAAGCTAAATTTCAAGGTAGCTCGCGTTCGACAAGAGGAATTTGACCCGCAATCGATGCCAAGCGTTGCGCATGACCGTTACCTGAAATCGAAATAAAAATTGAACTACGTTCTATTGTTCTGTGATAAAAGGTGAACGAATGGATTAGTTGGTTGAAAAATTGTAGGAATTCCTTGATTTTTATCTCGAGCTTACTTGTAAATTATATGTAACTCCTTTCCTTTTTCTTTTTAGATAGCAAACTTCAAATTTCGATCAAAATTATTTAATTGTTAACTATCATAGTGAAAAGGAGCAAATAAAAAAATCTAACTTAAATTTATTTAAATTACAAATCTATTTCAGATTTATTATACAGAAAGTTTTTTTTTTTTTACGTGTATCTCAGAAATCAAGCAGAGCAGCATTAAGTATATAAATAGAAATAAAAATTTCATCCGTTTAAACTTTATCTCGATCGAAATGTTACCTGTCAATCACTTCAAATTCAAAAAAGAAACATCTTCTCTTCCAAATTGCCCAGTATTAATCAAAAATATAACCAACAGAGAATAAAAGAATGAAAAAAATCTTGGCTCCAAATGAAACAAACTTTTTTTCTTCCAAATTCCAAGAATTTGTAATTGGAGATACAATCAATGCACGATTAAAAGTATCACTAACCTTTACGGATTCGATTCTGGTTGCAGGTGGAAGGATGTTTAAGAGGCTGTCGAAGTCGAGGCGGCACAGCGCCGATGACGTGGCCCTTTCGTTATCGAGCCCGACGACCCTGGACGAGCCACCGGGGACGTCTACACCGCGGGACAACTGTCAGAGCATCAGTCCAGCCGCCCTGCTGAGGGTTTCGAGGACGAAGTACACCAGGAGAAGCTGCGGGGACGCGAGCGCCATGCAGGCGTTACTCGCCACCAGCAAGCAGGAACAGGAGCAGGACGCAGCCGAGGCGGATTATCAAATGGTCACGGCCGTTCCTGCCTTCATCGTTGAGCACGAGCCCGAGAAACAACGTGGTGAGTGTAAAAATTCGAGTCGATTCGAGATAGCAACGATAGTTTTCACATTTGAAAATAATGTGTTGATTTCATTGAAGAACAATCTCGAAAATTATTTTGTCTTAGATAATTAGATGTTTTGTTATTTGTGATAGGATTAATTCTCGACACGATGATTATATATATGGAAGATGGAATTACATTTTGTGTTAAAGAAAATAGGATAAAGTAGAAAAATTTATGCTCGAGTAATGGCAAGCTGAAATTCTGTTGCTTGATTTGGATCGATTTTATAAATTGATAGGTGATAATTGAGATAAATTGTTCAATTATTTCTTCCATTCTTCTAAATATTCACGTTAATCCATTAGATTGAAATGCCTTGACGTATATCAAATTAAATTTCATTTGCCTCTATACATTATGGTTATTAATAAGGTAAGCATAACGTATGAAGCATCGGTGACGCTTATTAATTGAATAATTTCTTAATCACTTCTTAATAACCATGTTATATATCGTTTCTAATTTCTGTTACCAATCAATATTTACTTTCAACTAAAATTTCTTAAGGGATATTCACTTTCATATATAAATATCATATTCACTTCCATATGTAAATATCATACATGCGAAGTTTCAAAGTTTCAGAATCAATAATATCCCCTATTATTCCCCGTTTATTAAATATCTCACGAGAAAATATCGTCACGCTTTTCAAGCTTCCACTGATTTTTACTTATTTTTTTTCTCATAATTACAAACGATTACTCCGTCTCTTTGAGACACGAACGATTGATGGTATATCCAATCGAATTGAAAAACATACATCGTAAGAAAGAAATAAAAAAAAGAAAAGGAAAAAAAAAGGGATTTGAAAAGGACGTTTGTAATTTTCCCAGCAATCAAACAAATTACGATTCGTGTCAACGAGTGTATACGAGTAAGTAGTTGTTGATTTGTAATACACTCAACGTTGTTAGAAATCCATAATTATTATTCGTAGCTACGAATAAACACTTCGTTCAGTTTCCTCATGCTAATGAACGTTCGATTATCGAGAATATTAAATGACTGTTTTATATCTTCTCATGGAAGATCATTACAAATAAAAAAGAAATAAAAGATTAGAGAGTAACGCGTTCATGGATGTCATTTATGAGAAATTTAAAATAAATCAAATTTTATATCCGTGAAGAAAATTTTATAATTTTTAAAAACATCGTGTATCAGAATATATCTTAATATCGTGACGTGTTTCATACAGGATGAGAAGTTTAAACACGCGCGCACACATTGGAGAAGAATTAAAATAATTATTGCGAAGTGAAAAGGAATTATTATCGATTGAAGAAAGGTGAACAGCGCTCTCATACATTCATACATATTTTATTATATTATTATAATATTATAATTCGATTATAATTTTAATAATAACACGTCATCAAGTATTGCTAATTAATACTCGTCAAATTCAATAAGAATTAATCATACATTGATCAATAATTTGCATTACAATTTCAAAAGCATTACGCTGAAAATTTACTTTCCTTTTTTTTTTTTATCATATACACATCTATAACACGTTACATAAAATCTGCATTCATTATCATCACAATCAAACTTGAAAAAATATTTATTCCTTGCTTTCCTTATCCAACTATATCCAACAACTTGCATTACAATAAAACCATTGCGCCAAAAGATTCACCTCCCCTTCCTATCTTATCATATATATGTATATATATATATACAATACCACATAAAATTTCCATTCATTATCACCCTCGAAGACAATGACACCATTCCAGACAGTTCAAACGTGCCTCGGTTATATAATATTCAACCATTCACTCATCGACTTTCTAAACTCACGACGAATCGAAACGTTTCGGTAATTTTTCATCAAAAAACTGTGTAATGTACAGTTAGCTGGTACGATTCTTTTTCCGCATTGATTTCATCTCTCAGACTGTGTTTCTTCGATTTGTCTCACGCTTGATTTCATTCAAGGAATAGATGCACGAAAGAGATGCAAAATTTTTGACAATCCATCCATTTTTGACAATTTTTGAATTGTTATAACGAGTAATTAAGTAACTAAGAAAGAATTCACCTCTTGTGATTTTCGTAAAATAAAAAAAATTTGCATCAAATTTCATCAGAATGACTCAGTCACTCGATCATCTTTCAAATTTGCAATTAAGAAATTCTTTTCAGAATTTATGCAATTACGAGCACGAGATAATAAATTAATCGTTGAAATAATCGTATTCAATTTTTTTTATTTTGATAAAGTATATCGAATATCGAATAGGATATGCTTCTTATATAAAACAAATGACTTTTAATTAATAATTCATCGTTGCTTTATTATTCAGATTTGTGAATATACTTATTCATTTGTCAATTTTATTTTTCGTTTAAACAGGCAGAAATGAGAAGATTAATGCAATATAAATTAATTTAAACACTTTTCGCAATCAACATTCATCGATTCATTTTCTTATGTGATGTGATGTAAAGTTGAAACGGATGTGAATCATTAGAGACCAGCAATTATCCAGATCAATCGTTTTCCATGTTGTAAATGGTTAGTAACCTTAGCCTAGCTTCTTTTAATGTCAGTAAACGGATCACCGTTTTCTGCAACAGTATTCATAGATCGGATCAAGCTACTTATTATCTAATTTTATCTATTTTTCTTTCGATTTGTGCCTCTATTTTTCATCGCTTTATTTATCCCTTTAGTTATTAGAAATTGTTAGTTTTGCATACAACAGAATAACGCGTAGAACAGTTTCGATTAATTAAAAAAAAAAAAAAAAAATTTGAAACAGTCTTCTGGAGCGAATGAGAGATACTCACGCAACGTGATCGTGCTGTTAAACGTATCCATTTAGAGTAAAGAATGCAAATTTAAATGATTCGATTCTTGCAAATTGTCTAAATGCGTGTGATTATCCTATATAAGATATAAATTTGAATAGAGGGCGAACTTTGTAGAATACATCGGTCTAGTTACTTTTTTTTATTGTTATAGCACTATAAATTTTTTGTTTTGAATTCGTAAAGTAGAATTCCACAGGGATAAAGAAATCGAAGAATTAATTTTCCGCAAATGATGACAACTGTATCATTAATTCATTTAATTTATAATTAGAGAAGTTTTCTGATAATGAGGAAAAATAAATCATCATTAAAAATTCAATGTATATTTGATGATTTGAACTCGTAAGCGCTATAAGAAGCTAATAACATCACATGAAGGTGTGTCTTATTTGCTCGAGTGCCGCGCCTAATTAATTCTTTTCGCGAAATGTCATAGTCTTCGAACGTTACAATGCTCGAGCAATCTTTGCAACAAAGACACGCGATCAGAAAAAACAATTATATAATAATATTTATTGTTTCTGACGTTAATATGTCATATCCCCATCGTTTTTAAAATACAATGCAGATTTATAATATTAAATTCACTCTCTGTTTTGCAATACTTTTAAAAAAGAAGAAAATAATATTTAAATCAATATTGTTACCATAATCTCGCAAGAACAGAAGCGAAAGAACACAAGCTTAACTCGAATCCTTTGTACTATTATTCATTATCGAAATCTTCACTATACGTTTTATACGTATAACTCAAATATATTACCTGATGTGATATCCCCAAGCTACGTAAAACAGACATTTATTATATATTCTCCATCGTTAAAACGTTTCCCCTTCTTCTTCTATTTTTTTCTAACACTCGTGCAAGACAGAGAGAGAAAAAGAATCTAGCAACCATCTCCATAACCATTAAACCTCTCATGCACTTACTCGCAAAAAAAAAAAAAAAAAAAAAAAAAAAAAANAAAAAGTATCGTGAGAACAATCTTGGAAGCATTTTCATTTTTATCGAAACACCGAAATCAATTCCACCAGTCCCCCGGTAATCACCGCGAATATCCGCCGCTCGAGAGGGCAGTCATCGAGCCGCCCAAATGGCGTCGATAATCGATGGCGGTTATCGTGTATCGTGGCGGGTAAAATCGATCGCGGGCGCCATGATAACGGGCGATGAAAGAAAGAGTACAGTTAATCGCGGGCTACCCTTTCGGCCGTTACGGTACATCCTGTATCCCTCGAAACCGTCTCATTTACAAAATCGCATGAAACGCATGGACGCATGCGGCGCACGTACGAACCAGAACGAGCATTTCGAGCCCGGCCAGGCGATCCGTCCCTGGAAGAAGAGGGAGAGATGGTGCGCACGATTTTCACATTCAAATTGCCCTCGAAAGAGAAGAAGAAGAAGAAGAAGAAGAAGAAGAAGAAGAAGAAAAAAAGACAGAGAGGGGAAGAGAAGAGGATGATGGCGTGCGTTCATCAGAGAGAGGGTTCGAGGGTCAAAGCGTTTTAAAGCGTTGCGACCGAGCCGCACGCGTCGTGCGAAATTAACACTTTGCCGGGCGGCTGTCAAGTATGGAATACGTGTATGTACGTCTTAACTGGATGTTCCGTTGCGCGCTTCCGTGCGCGAACACACGCGTGGAAATGTTCTTGCGATTAGGTCGTTCGTTAACGGGTTATTTCTTTTTTTTTTTTTCGATTAAATTTTTGCGCGCGTTAAATCGATTTCCTTGATATCGAAGAGATACTCGATGGAATTATTTGATATTCGAGCGTAATTTTAAGTACTTTTTTGGTATGGTATGTGGATGGATGTTTTTTAAAAAAAATTGGAAATAGCGGATGATTCCAGCCGATTATCGAGTGCATATGTTGAGTGCATATGTGTATGCTGGATAACTGGATGTTTCGTTGCTACTCTTGCATATGAAAACATGTGCAAATGTTTTTTATGATATTAAAGTTGTTGAAGAGGGATAGTGTTTTAGGCTTGTAATTTTTTTTTCGTAAAATATTCACGTATAAAGACGTGTGAAGATTAGGTTTGTTGGATGGATTCTGGAGAAAATTCTTCCTAGAATAATATAATTTTCCTTAAATTATTTCAATGTTGTAATAAAATA